TTCTGCACGTTACTTTGACGGCGAAAACAATGAAAAATGCGGGTTTATTGCTCGTTTGTGCTGCTTTGGATTTGTAGCCGAGAGGAAGAGCGAGAGCTTCACTTCTTGAAGCAGATACAACTTTAGATATTTCTAGAAAATAAAAACTTATTTAATTTCTAACTTTTTAACAAAAACTGCCAAATAAAAAAAAGGAATCTAAATCAGAATTCTACAGGATATCATTTAGTTGCAATAAAAACGGAGTTTTACTTTTACTTTAACGGTTTCACTAAATTTAAACCCATATACTTCAAACTTGAGATTTAAAATTAAAAATAAAATTATAACCTTCTAATTCAATTATACAAATTTTTTTAACTTAAATATTTACTTTCAATTAGATGAAAATCATTCTTGATAAATTAAAAAATTGTATTAAATTACCAGAATTAAAATTTTAAGAGAAACTAGGCTGAAAAATGAGCTTAGACACAAAACGCACTTCCCTTTCCTCTAATTTTATGAATGAGATCCGTCCTCAGCACCGGCAGTAAAACTTGTAATGATCGTCATAAAATCCACAGGTGTAATAATCATCCCAAAGCACTGCAATCACCCTTTGAAACAAGAACCGACTATTCCTTCTGAGAAAAAAAGAAGAAACGGTAGCCTAAAAATTGCACTTGCAGTAGTGCAATCAAAACGGAGAGACTTCACGATTCTCAGAGCAATAAATTATAAACAGTCTCGAGACTCACTTTGCATTTTATTTCCATTTCTTCCTCATTTTCATGACGCAGCCTCTAGCCAGTCCGGCCGATTATAAAAATGCGAAAACAGCACGTCAAACCACGCCAGGCTTCTTCAGCCAACTAATGACCTGCTTTTACCACCCTTTCATCTTTCATCAAATCGCACTGCTCTCGTCTGGTAGACCAGCTGCCGACAATATATAGCCGAGGAAATCACTTGAACACAATTCAAAGATTTAAAACTCTTTTCCTCCCCGTCGGCAAAATTCGACGTTTTTTTTAAGTTGCATTGCGGTCGGTGCTGCAACCCTGCTCGGCCTTGAGACGTGCCCACGTTTGGTCAAGCGGCTGTCAAAATCAAGAGCACCCACGAGTAACCAGGCCAAGCAATTAAAATTTTTGCACCGACCTCAGCGCATTTCTCCAACGGGGATTACGAGGCACTTTGGGCTAAGCGATCGTTGCAGAATAAAATTACATAGTGCTCAACTAATGCAACATTTTTTACTCCATTTCGACGACTTAGGGTGAGAGTACCGCAAATTACGTTTTTCTTTTTTGCAATTTGCCTGAGCAGAGTGTCAGATTCAGTTAGTGGAAAAATTACATGATGCTTTTAACTATAGCAAAAAATAGTGGGCTTACATTAACACTGATGAGAAAATTATTTGGTTGTTTACCAAAGCATATCAAGGTCGTTCAGTCATCCCAAAGATTACCTTTCTCATTTCAGAGACTTGATAACAATTCAAAAAATTTGACAGCATTTCTTGCATTGGATATTAATAAAAAAATGGAAATTTTTGATGTGGTTAATTTAAGTTAAAGAAGCTAATAATTTTACAATTTTCCATTATAATCGGTGTGCTTTTTTTTGGCTATATTTCTTTTAATTTTTTCCAATAGCTCCAATACTTTCTTATTCATCTTTAATGGCTCACCCAATTAAAATTTATAAAGACACATTTTAAGAATCAATAGCTCAATTCAAAAACTCAGTATTAAAATAGCAAATTTTAAGTGAATTTGCTCTAATTTCATTGGTTTATATTTATTATAATTTTCAATTGTTTTCACATATTGCTTTTTTTAAATATATTTTTAATTTATTAAATATTCTGATTATAATTTTTCATTAAATCCATGTGAGTTATGAGAGTGTGTAAATACGTGACTCATTACACGCTCCACCTTGCAAAAGATTGCGTATTTCTTTATAGCTCGCCTGAGCAAAAAATTAGAAATGATTTCTTCTTAGCCCGCTCTAAAGGTAATTCAACTTTTATTCAAGAAATATACTGCATTGAATTAGGCAAGAATTGGGATAAAACGTGCTCACCAGCATCAAATTTCTTAACAAAGCAATGAATCAATGCGAATGAGTGTAATAGAGAAGCTGCGCGGTTGCTACTGGTATTTAATAACGATATAATATTTTATCGAAAGTGACTTTGAATTTCAAGCGTGTGAGCAAAGCTCTCATTAGTTTCTGCTCGACGTATTTAGCAATAAAAAGCCAGCGTTTTTTCACGGTTTGTGCGCACTCAATCGAAGGGAAAATTGATCCCAGACCGGTGCAATATTAATCGTACGCGTCGGCGTTGAGTGTCCCGAGAAAATAAAATTAAACCATGGGAGCGAAATTTCAGAGCTCGCGGTCAGACGTCTCAATTAACTGACTCGGAGATCAATTCGCAGTATGGATTTTTTTTTTAATTTTCTACCTTGTGAAATTAAAACTAAACTGCGCGCATTACTTTAATTTAATAGAATTTTTAAAATCTTTTGAAAAGAAAATTTTCTTTTAATATTCCATATTATTTGTTTGTTAAGGGTTAAAATTTATAAGGAATTCTTAGCGGGGAACGATAAATGGAGTGAATCTACCCTTTAAATGCATACAAATTTTATTTTTTACTGCGATTTCGTGGGACAGCAATTAATAATTTGGATGATTTGGTCGTGACGCGCTCTCTCTGCGAGTGACCGGTCACTCGTTTTCGTCATCGCTCGTCAAGGGAAATTAGGCATCACGTCTGCGTGTTTTCATTTCGCTCTCATTGGATGAGCTGGCGGTATTTGCAGAGCGTTTAATTCAAACTCCTTTCAGACGAGACTGGTTCCGCTCTGTTAAATTTATCTCCAGCACAACATGTTCTACACTTCCCGCCGTTCTTTTTCAACGCACGACGAGCTCCGTACGATGGAGTCTCGATTCTTTTTACATAGATCATGTAGTTCGTTATGCAATTACGATGCACTTGTTGTCGTAATTGTTATGCGCGAGAAAGGGAATTGATTCATTTTATTTTTTTACCTTATTGTTTTTGTTATCAACATTACGTTTCAAAGTTATAATTTTGAATCGTAATAAATTTAGCACTATTAAAATAAAAAGTAATAAACAAAATTTACAAGTGGATATTAGAAATTTATTCTAGAGATGCTGTAAAGTCACATCGAAATTCAAATTTTACAACATAATTGGTATGGAGATTTTAGTGAAATGTTTAACAACCTCCGGCCACGCGGATCATGTTTCATCACGCACAATGAGGCAAAGCCGATTGTTTGAAGTTTACTTTTGAGGCTGTATGCGAAACATCTCTATTACCCGGCTAATGCCATATAAGCTCATCAAATAATTAAATGCCTAAATGATGACAGAACCCAACACGCAATTTCGGCTCCTGCAGATTGCTATGATACAAGGCTTTCTGCTAAATATTTTGAAGAAAATCCACAAAGTATAATTAAATGAAAGCAAACAGTAGGTTAGTAGGTTCGAAAAGTTTAATATTATTGTTTAAAATAATTAAGTTTATTAAAAAATTGCAAACCAAATAATATTGTAGTATAATTTTATTTCAAATTGAGAATATACATTTTTTCAGTTTTTCCTTACAGCTATTTATAAGGACATAAATTTTAATTAACAATATTTTTATGAATTAGCAATTCTGAAAAAATTAATGGAAAAGTTTTGCCTTTTTTTCATTAAGTGGATATTTTCAAGAAGATTTTTCCTAATTCCACTGTGCAATCTAAAAAATCTTACTCCCATTATTTATCATATAACAAGTAACCTGTTTATCGAAAAGGAAGTGTTTTTACGCAGTTGCAAATAAATCTTCAAGAAAAAACCGAGAGAAAATTAATCAGGTTGATTTTTGGCTCACATTAAAGTTGCAAAGGACCGGTATACGATTATTTGCCTTAGGCCAAATTGGTGACTTTTAATTGCCCTAAATATACGAGCCAGATCTTATACAATGTGTCCTGTTGACCACAAATAAATCTTGTTGATTGTCAGTCGAACTTGATTGCTCAATCTATTATGTATCATATTCTGTTTTTTATATAACAAACAAGAGCAGCAAAAAAATGACGAGACGTTTCTCGCAGGTGCTTTCTGAAATATGTGTGCCGCTTAAAATACAAAACGAAGCCAACGATCGTGATTGATGTTAATTGGTGGATTAGATCGCGCGGTGATGATATATGGTTGGCGTATTAGTGTCCGGCGCGAGCACGAAAAAGAGAAAAATTCCTGGGGCAATACACAAATGGTTGGATACAGCAAAAGTTGTGCGTGGGCAGCGATTCCACATTGCAGAGAAGAAAAAGACGAAATTTAATTGCCGTTAGGTTGGCGACGGGTTTCGTTTACAAAAAAAAAAAAAAAAAAAAAATGAGAATGTATAGAATTGAATTGGGCTAATTAAAATTATCCGTCCTAATAATCACCTGCTTTTTACAAAAGTGTTCTTGAATCATCTACGCATTTTTACTGTTTTTTATGTATTTTGTAAATTAAATTATAGCAATTCAATTTGATTGACTTAAAAAACTAATGGACAAGGATATGTACACAATAAAACACTAATTGAAGAGGGTTAAATTCTTACTTATTTAAAAAAGAAATTGATTATTAGTAACATTAACATTAACAATTAAAACAAAAACGATTTATTAGTATGGACGAGTTTTTTTGAGGAATTTAAATTTTGGTTTAGTCTCCTTCACAATATCTATGACCCCACCGATTAGTTAGTTATGAATTTCATAAATAAATAATGTGAAGAAATTAGGTGTAACGGAGATTGTTTAAAAAAAAATATTAATAATTTTACAGTAAAGCAAAGGAGCAGCTGGGGCCGTGCGCGTAAGGAGCCCCACCACGGGTAGCTGGCGAGAACAAAATCACAATGCACGCCAGGTCCCCTCTTCTCCGTGCGAGAGTGTAAAGAGTAAAACGAAAGCTGGTGCCCCTAAGTAGACCATTCAAGACAGTGCTCGACGCTTGGTGGGTCCGACGAGCTGCGCAGTGCCCGCTGGACACCCTCACTCACTGGACAGTGTTCGTTGTTGGCCAAAGAAAAGTGTTCACCCTCATAAGTGCCAAAGACCGCTAATTTATTACCATGTTTCTTCGGTGAGTACAAGTTTCTTTTTTTTTTTCAAATTAATCTCCACCACCAAAATCAGCTTTTTTTCCTTTTTGCACCTTTTTTTTTAATTTTACGAGAAAAATTGAAAAAAAAACTTGCACAAAGTTTTATTTAGAATTCTAGGTCTGCAAAATTGTTATCATTTTATTTATCTAGGAAACGGACAATCAAAGCCAATTTACCACTGGAATGCCCTTTAGTAAATAGTGCGTGTTGTTTCCATCTTCCTTCTTTCTCTCGTTAAATGAACGCAAATCTGGCAAATTAGCATTTTATCAGCAAGGATTCGCGGTCGGTCGTTCAGGTCTCTGAACTTGGCGTGCGTTATTACACTTATGTTGCCGGCTTATTATAGAGTCCGTCTACGCTCTGCTTGCTGAGTGGAAACGCAGCAGCGCGCCGCGCACATGTGACTTTGGCCTTTGTCGAGAGAGCAGGTGGATTGGCAAGGAAGAGAGCTCTGTGTAATTTTTGCAAACCGTTCTTTCACTAATTAAATAAAATTAAGGCTGCAAAACAGGACGAAAAGTAATTGAAAAAAGGTTAAATTTACAAATGAATGAAATTAGCAAAAAATGTGTTTGGAAAGGGTTGTTTTTACTTGATTTACAGTGATTTTCTCTCACTATTGATTCATTATTTAAAATTTATCTACATTACTTTTTGCTCTCGGTTAATAAAATATTGATATTATTCACAAACCAGTTTATATTTATATTAATTTCATTTATTTTGAAAAATAATTCTGCAATATTTCTTTGCTAAGCAAAAGTGATCCAACGGCAATTTTAATTTGGCACTGGCAATTATGCTAATGTTAGTAGAGCACCAAGTGTCGCCTATTTAATGACCGGCACAAATATAATTGCTGCTCATAAAAATGTTAGCCAACGCGCTCGTTGAAATCTCCGTGGGTTTCAAAAATTTTCCGGCAGCGCTTCCTCGTTGGTCGGACGGACGAGTGGTGCGATTAAGGCAGCATTCAGGTCACTCCTTAGGCCAGCTTTGGGGCAAAAGTAGTCAGTCAGCAGCAGCAGCAGCAGTCATATAGGCAGCCACAATGCTGCTTCTTGGCTTAGTGACCCAGTTAACGTGCCTCCAACTGTACTTTCACCTCTCTCGCCTTTAATAATGATATTATATTTATATTTGAGCTCGCACTCTCAACACAGATGAACACCGATCAAAATTTTTCAATCTGGGCTGCTGTGGAAAATTTTGTCGGAAAAAAACGCCGGTCCTTTGTTAGACCGGCGCTCTATAGGAGAGAGAGATTTCTTTCTCAGCGGCAGAAGTTTCACAAAGTTTCTCTCATCCCTGTTGAAAATTTAACGGAGAAACCAGTTAGAAATTGTAGACGAGGCAAAAAATAAATGTGCATAAAAATAGTCATGCCGGTGCGTCCCGATTTGAAGTAATTGAAATTAGAGAAGACAGCATCCTTTGTCTGAGTTGCATCAATTAGAACCGAGTGAGCTCAATTTCAAAGAGGATGTGAACAGTGTGTAGAGTGGAAGGTGAATTAAAAAATGAAATAACAAATCCGGGCCAGAATAAGCAGGTTACAATTCGCGCAAAAAAATGCGACGTTCTATTTGAAAAAAAAATGTAATTAAGCAAATGATAAACCTGATTTTTTTTTAATGAAAAAAAAAATATGAAAAATCTCTTTCTGCGGCTTGACATGGTTGGCAGTTCTCATAAATTTTTACACAGATTTACTTTTCATAATCGCCATAATAGTTGTTGCCTTTGAGCTCTTTATCCGCTTTGATTTCCAGCGGCGGCGTGACGAAATTTCAAAGTCCTTTCTAAAAGCGATTTATATTTATTGCCCGGAATGAGGCGTGCAGCTTTTAATCTCGGGGCAAAAACCCAGTGCAGCATCTAATCTCTTTGTGGCACTACGGCGGTAGCGGGTAATTGTTCAATTAACCACCATCTCTCAAGAAGTGATGTGAAAGTAAGTCTTCATGGCGGCATTACGTGTCCGCGCGCGATCATTTCGAATAAATACATATCAGAGTGAAAGAACGCGTGATATGCATTCGTTTGCATGAATCAAACATGTGTCTACCTAGGCGCAGACACGATGCCGGTAACGCGAGAGCATTGTTGGGCATTTTGTCAATAAATCAGAACAATTAGTTGAATTCATTCGATTGTTCAAAGCGTGTGTCAGTGCCAGAGAAATGCCACTCAAGAGATGTCCTTATTATCGGCCCAGTGGAATGAAGATGAAACAAACTTTCTCGCTGCGTTTTTACAAGAAACATCGAACGAGTCAAGTGTATAGCATGCGTGCTGGATAAATAAAAAGCCATTTTGGCAAAAGAAATAAACATTATCGCGAACGGCTTTATCTTCTTCAACGCACTCGAACGGTCGTCGAAAGGCAACAACTCAGTATTTTTTTTATGTTTTCTCTCGTCCCATCAATTTTAAGATGAATAAAAAACGGTGTCTGGAAAATAACAAATAAAAATGTAATAAAATAAGAATATACTTCCATGACCCTGTTTTCTCTCCACGTAATTCCTGCTCACCTGTTAATGGGATTTTACATTTTCAAGGTCACCGATGGTTAAGAATAAAATGAGTAAATTGTGGAGTTTTACGAATCTTATCTGACGTTGCGCCGGCAAAAGGTCGGTAGATATTTTCGTAGGATGAAATTGATCCACGGCAGTGGCAATTTGGCCAAATCACTGCGAAATTTCGTGAGCGATTTGCTCTCAAAAACTTTTACCCGAAGATCGAAATCGGCATGATTTGCTCATTTAGCTATAAACTAGATTTGCCAGCGATCAATCGCAAAAGATTGACTTGGACTTTTCCTCCGCCTCATTTCCTTCGCGTCTTGATTTATATATGATGTGAGGCGTTAAAGGAACGTGCTGCATAATATCAGGAAATAATCCCCGAACAAAGACGTATGAAGTCGCAGACTCAATTTATCGTATGAAAAGTGAAACTAATTTACACACGCGTTGATATAGAAAGTTACACACGTGCTTATAAAATGATTGTGTTTGAATGCGTGGGTGCAAGTGTTACTATTAACTTAGTTATAATATCACGTCACTTATTTGGGAGCTGTTTTAAAACAACAAGCACTTGCAAATAAAATAAATAAATGGCTAAAAATATTTATTTGGCCTTCATTTTATTTTCTTTCAATCTAAATATCAGATAATGAGTTTTGAAAATTTTCTACGCGTAGAAAATTTGCCATTTTACAATAAAAAAATTTTTACTTATGTTCTTAACTTGACTTCAAATCAGTCTTAATGATGAACCTCAAAATTCATGTTGAACCGATTGGAGCGGCTTTTGATATCCTTTATTTCTATTGTTGATGTTTTCAAAAGATGCGATCATTAGAAGTCTTCTGGAATTCTCGAGATCCATTGTTAAGCAATCTTTTTTCATGGTGCTGCTCAAGGTTACTCGGATTCTATTTCAAACTTATGAAGAAGTAATTGCATGGAAAATTGCACGACTGCAGAAATAGCCAAAACAATTTGGCAATAAAGTCATTACTCAGTCGGATACAAGTTGCCCAACAAGCATCTTAAACCAAATAACCATGCGTATCCGATTACAAAATACGCACTCGTAATTAATGGCCAATTAGTCAAACCAGATCCAGAAGCGTATGCAACCGGACCAGTTGGAACCAGAGAGATCCGAAATTTCTCAAGCAAAGAAAATAAATCGGAAGCTGTCTCAATCTAGTCGATTCTTTTGATTCCACTAATGTTAGAAAAATATTTTATGTTTCCAGGAAAGGGATTTTTATTGTTTTTTCATAGCCACATTAAAGCAAGCTCACTTTCGGAACGAAGGAAATTAAGAAATTGAATTAAAAATTACGACGGTGTGAATTCATTTGGATAACTATGAATTAACCGGAATTAACCAACTGACTTTCACTATTCTCGCATGTAAACATCAAAACACACGAGAGCACCACGCCGAGCACACATATGTACATACAAGTTGTCAAGTTTGTCTTGCAACATATTATATAAATTAATTAGTAATAGTTGTCTTCCTGTCGCCAGGTATTTGCTCTCGATTTTTTTATCTTTAACTCAAGGCTAAGGTTCACAATCTTAATTGATCGATCATTGTCAGAAAGTATTGAAGGGCAAAAATATTAATTTATAGAAAAACACATATTTTTTTTCAAATACTAGTTGTTCATTTTGACTTATTGAGGTAAAGAGAACAGACTCAAAACATTCTAAGGTCACCGCAAACCGGAGCAAACTTGTCCTCTTCCACCTGCTTCAAGTTTTTTTCTGTCATTTTGAAGCGGCGGCATCCCGGATTCGAATGACGCTGCTTCGGATTCGCGCCCTTTGGCTGTGGTCAAGACGTTTGCTCTAGAAAGTCATCCTGCTTAGCAAGGTCGATCGCTCTCAGCCGCTCTACTCTGACGCAAAATAAAATAAGCCGCCCCGATTGAATCACACAACTGTGTTGTTCGCCCTAATAGTATAAGAATAAGTGCGCCGAGATTATCCGGCATAGGAAGGCCGAGAGGTTTGCCGTTTAGAAAGGCCCCCGAGTGCACTCGGTCTTTGGCATGCATAGGTATTTTCAAAAGTCTAAACAAAGTCGCTTTCTATGAGTCGCCCGCGGCTTGATTATCGGGCTAATTGACCAATTTTGGCTGCATCGGAATTAAAAAGTGAAATTCACTCTACAAACACTATTATACGGTTATTCAAAATTCAAAAATAAAAATTACTAGACAAATTTTTTAAATTGAAATGTAACTCAACTCTGAGGTACTTTTTGTACGTTGGAGGAAAAAATTGCAAATAGAAAGCAAATTGTCGAGTCAAGGCCAAAGTTACACGCCCGTTTCGTGAATTGATTGATTGGAGCGAACCAATAGACAATTAAGATTGGAGTGATAACGAGCCGCACTGATGAAAATGAATGGATGTGTTGGAATATGTCTGGTGAAATT